GCCCTCAATTGTTTTATACTATTACAATAAATGAATTTTCTGATTCCCTATGCAAATCTATGTCTCGATCTTCAGTGTACTTGGACATTTCTTAGAGCAAACTAAGCGGTATTAGACATTTTTGAGGTTCAATGGTCTTGCAAATTTCTGCAGTCAAATCGTTGCCTCAAATATTTTGGAGGGCCGGAAGGGTCTCAAAAATATCTGCCCCAGTAAGGGCCTCAGAAATTTCTGCGGCAGTAAGGGCCTCAGAAATTTCTAAAGCAGAAAGGGTCTCAAAAATTTCTGCGGCAGTAAGGGCCTCAGAAATTTATATGTTCTAATCGTCCCAGAAATTTTTGTGGATCGTTGTCCCAGAAATTTTGCTGGACCGTTGTCCCAGAAATTTCTGTGAATCCTTGTCTCAGAAATTTCTGCCGATGAGTTGTTGTCTCAGAAATTTCTGCCGGATGAGTCGTTGTCTGACTTGTCTCAGAAATTTCTGCGGGTGAGTCGTTGTCAAAGAAATTTCTGTGGCTCATGGAAACTGTATTTTCTGAGTTGCGTTTTTGCTAATGTTCTCCAGACTTCTGAGACCACAGTAATAAAATAAATAAAATGCTTATGGGCAAGAAACATATAATTTTTGAAATATTTTGACGTAGGAAATACAGTCCTGGAAAGGATTCCAAGAAACTGACTCAAATTTACCAGATGATAAAATTGTCTTTTTGCCAAGTTTAACAGCGTGTTTGCTGAATTTAGCCGAGGACTCTCCAGAGACGTATTTATGGACGAAATCGGGCAAATAGACTGAATTCTTGATGCAATAATTTGATACTTTTTTAGGAACAAAAATCAGCTTTTTTGGGTGCATCTTTTCTAAGCCAACAAACATTTGTCGAAAAGTTAGTAACAATAGTCAAATCTTTCCAATTTTGCTCCTACAAATTGGAACAAAATGAGCAAATAATTGCATATTTTTCCGAAATCAACATTTTAGAATATCCCACCTTATTTTAGAACGTGTTTAATGTTTAACTTTTAAAATGAAGCCTTTTAACAGTAAGATAGACAAGGGATAAACATTCATGTTGAGGATGGTTTTTGTGTTTATGTAGGTCCTAAAGGGGTTAAGGGTACTCAGGGTGCTAAAGGCGATAAAGGACAAGCTGCCGGTTCTGGGGTGAAGTACGTTCGCTGGGGAAAGACTTCATGCCCTAATGGTGCCCAGATTGTCTATAAAGGTACAAAAAGGCGATGACTTACCCTTCATTTAATTCACATTTACGGATTTATTTAGAGCTGATCTATTTGAATATTTCTCGATTTTCATCCTTTCATAATCTTCGTATCATCTCAACGAAACTCTGAAATCCTTTACTTCCCTACTTGTTAGGTTGCATGGGTGGAGATTACTACACTCACACTGGAGGGGGCACCAACCATCTTTGCATTCCAAAAGTTCCAAAGTACGATCAGTATAAAGATTGTTATCAGGACCACGGAGGTTTCGTCTTTGGCACTGAGTATAAACTGTCGTTTAAGAAAAATCTCCATAACCACGATGCACCTTGTGCCGTCTGCTATGTCGAGTCACGTGGTTCAATGCCGATGATGCCCGCTCGGAATGACCGTCCATCTGGATGGAGCAAGGAGTATCATGGGTATCTGGTGACTGAACATTATAACCACAAAAACCAAAAAAAAACTACATCAGTGTCGACAGAGACGCTAAGTCTATTCCCAGCAGCAGCGCGAACGCAAATGGAGCATTGCTGTACCTTGTAGAAGGAAAGTGTGGCCAACTACCATGAGGTCCGTTTCGTTTCAGGTCGAGAGTTGACTTGCGCTGTGTGTAGTAAGTGACGGAGAAGACTGTCCTTTCTAAACTGTGGGTTTTGACGGGCGACAAATCTGTGATTTTTAAAAACGAACTGTATTAATTTTAAAACTAGTTCAGAAAGTGTTAGTTCACATTGTGCAGCTCATATATAGCAATTGAAATATAGTGTAGCTTGCTAGCACCTAAAAATAAAAGTGACGTCACATCATTCGGAAAAACTTCCTAATTATTCTTTTTTAATCAGGGTCTTTTTATTTCCCACGAACGAGTAATTAATATCGGTAAATCCACATAACAAGAAAAAAAATGTTACTCTCTCTAGCTACGTAAATACACGTCATCATAAAGATCTGTTGGCAAATAATTAACACAAAATAAATGACGCGTGAATTTTTTTTCCAGTCATGACTTTCACAGTCACATTTCAATACCGGCGTAGCTAACAAGCTCACTTAATAGACTTGTGTCGTCTGCATTTTCAAACGTCAACAACCTCTTTTCAGGAGAGGACCCTCAGTCTCGCGAATCGTGTCTGATTGCACGTTGATTTTGTTAAGCGATGGCTGACATGGAATCAGAGATCGAATAAGAAAAAATGTAGTTAGCGCAGCTTAGCTAAATTCAATGTAGGAGACACTGTTTTTTGACAAGATAAATAAGCTTTAGCGTACGTTTTATCTGCGTGAATATATACGATCCAAGCACTTTTTGAAATAGCCTATTATTCGGCCACCAAATAACTCAGAATCTATGTACGCGGCATGATTTGATTGAGACAATGGCGTCATTGAAGTCATTGAGACATCATGTAGTTAAATTGAACGGATGGATGTTTACGATTTCTGCAGATAATATAATTTTGATCAAGATCTTATTGCCATTTCCCCTAATTTTCGCTATTTTTTTGCATCCCGGTTCCCATTGGATTAATGAAATGAGTTTATTACGTTTGTTACTTTTTGCTAAAAACTCTTCTTCCTGTTGGCAGAGCATGCATCGGTTCTGTTAAGGTAGGGGCTCAAATTTACCCCGGTCTGAATAGGGTTGCGCCTTCTGAAATTTTGCTTTAATTTTCACAAACCAAAAAATAAAGAAAATAAAAAAACAAAACTGAGCAAAGTAAATTAATTTGGACGCCTTTGATACGCTTTGTGTTTACTTACAATAGTTGAGTTTCTTGATAGTGACTAAGCATAAAAAATAGGCCAATATATATATATTTTTATTTATTTTTTAATTTCTATTTTTTGATGTTTTGAAATACCATAAAGACCCTTTTTTCTTCTTTGTTTTAATTTTATTTTTCTGTTACTATGAATGACGGTTCGTGACTGTGTATCAGTGACCTGCCATAGCGCTAGTTTTCCCGGGAGTACACGGGTTTGTAAACACTGCATGAAGGCTTCAATTCTTTTTTCGCTCTCACTCACCTTCACTTTTCCCAACAAGAAAACTATTGTTTCTCTCTCCCTCCAGGAGATCCTGGTGAAACTCTCCTCGGAGCGAGAGTGAGAACCAATTGCCGAAAGAAAAAAAAAAAAAAAAAAAAAAAAATACCGGAGGAAGGCTTCAATTTTTTTTTCGCCTTCACTCCCCTTCACCTTTCCCAACAAGAAAACTATTGTTTCTCTCTCCCTCCAGGAGATCCGGGTGAAACTCTCCGCGGAGCGGGAGGGAGAACCAATTGCCGAAAAAAAAAAAAAAAAAAAAAAAGAAACAGGAAGGAGGGATGGGTCAAGGTCCTGATAAAACTTTCAATGCAACAAATTTTATCAGGTGTAAAGTTTAAGATAATCGGCTCTTAGAACTGATTACTCATGCTCAAGACTCCTTGTTTAATCAAAGCCAATTCGTTACGTTACTATGCCAAACAAATTAACTCTTTGGATAAAGCTGTATTAACACAAGATTCAAAAGGTCTTAGTTATAATTGGTCTTTAAAATAAGTTTACTTTATGCTCCATGAACGACGAAAACAACTCGAGGTGTTTTTCAAGTGTAGCTGCCGGATAATTAGAGGCCTCGTGGTTTTTTTCAGTTTTATACACTGAACGGAGAAGACGTGAGACCTAATTTTTCTTCGTTTTCCAATAAGATACCATCAGGTAAGCGATTCAGACAGAGATGATTGTCCACCTAGATTAAGCATTTAAACTTCACGAGATTTGCTTTATTATTCGCGAAAAAAAAATACGATCCTTGGCTTTGATGACAAAGAACCACTCTGTGTGTCAGTATAGCAATAAAATCAGTTTCTTTTATCGAATGATTCGTTCAGCTTAAACCCTTAAGTTTGCAAAGCCACAATTCCTTTCTGTTTTTTTTTTTTCTTATATCATCACTGATAATAGATGAAATAGGTACACTGAGCTGTTTCAAAAAAGAAAAGGGCTGGGGAGAGATCAATCTGAGTGATTATGTAACTCTGTAGTTCTCGTCAAATGAAGTAGTTTAAAACCCTTTGCTTTCAGCAAAACCCAAAATTCAGTCGACTTGTCGCATCATAGGATTTTGGCCACCCTCTCAAAATCCCCATCATTGCCTCTTAGGGTAAGTACTAAGACGGTCTAATCTTTGATTTCAGAGAAAGCGGTGAATATTAATTGCTATGTTCCAAGACAGCTATCTTTAAGTGACATTCACCAATCGGGAATAAAAAGGCTATAATTTATGTTTTGTTATTATTATCTACTTCCAGTTTAAGATATCAACTTTTCAGTAACTTTCTCGAAAAAAAATATACACGTTTCTGGAAACTTTAAATTTTGTTCTGACGGCCACGTTGTATGCACAGTGTGTATTAATAAAAAATTCAGTTACTTGAGCAAATCCTACAAAATGCAACGCGGAGTAGTTACCAAAAACATTTTGCATTTTGAGAGTAACCAGTTAGCTTTACACTCTGGGTGAAAGTATGAAATTAGACTGGCGACGTGTAATTTGGAAATCTCGAGATGATAATTCCTCTCAATCTTAGATGCTGACCAAGAGCCATAATGGCCCTTGATGCTGACTTAATGACTCCGCATTCATTTTATTCAAGATTTTACATCATTTGCAAAATTACTCACTGTTTTTTTTAACAATTTTACAAGAATATCGGTCAAATTCCATAGTTATGTTTAACTTGATGGGCACTTTACACAGGTGAGACACCTCGTTATAGTCTCGAAAAATGGGGGATGAAACGAAAACGTCCTATGAAAAGCCGTTCAAGACCATGCGTTTGGATCATACTTCTTTAGCCTTCGCGATACTCTTGGTACTAACAGGCATTGTGAAAACAAGTCTCGCTGAAAACAAGGTCATGCGCGAACAAAGAGCCGTACAACAACAAATGGACACTAATGATACTAATATGAAAGATATGATGAAGCGATTGAAAATGTTAGAAATGTGGTAAATTATAATCTGATGCAAGAGATTTGTATTGCTTTACTTTCCGGAAGCTTAAGCATCCCTTTTAAGTTAAGAATGGAAGAATTAATTCTAGATACATGATCAATATCTACACAGAAATCAGAGTATTAACATGTCATTAATTTTGCATTGGCTTCTGGCTTAGAAGTTCAAGCTAGTGTACTGAGAAAATTGAGACATTTTCCAACAAAATCTCAACAAATATAAAAACAAAAAGACAAGTAGTTAAGCTACAAATTTTCTTGACAATTTGGAAGAATTTATAAATTTGGGGTGCGATGACATCTGAAATGTTCATATCGAAGGAATTAATCAGTAAAGTGTTTAGTCTAACTGACAAAGCTTTATCACATCTTTTTTGCGTTTGATTTCGTCAGATTATTCAAGTGTTAAAAAAAATATTTCACTTGTTCGCGCCGTGCCGAAAAATGCAGTTCCTTGTTACGAGGTCAGCAGTAAATTTGGGGAGTTATCACTATCTATCATCGGGTGAAGTAGGGAAAACAGGAAATAAGAAAATATTGTTGAATGGGTAGAGGGACTGTGTCAAAAGTGTTGGTTAACATTAATTTCTGGACACTATGCACTGCAAACCGGTAGGTCTGGTAATTACCAGGAGTATAGTATCCGAAGAACTCGGTATGACCATACGGTTTAAGATTAAGTCAAAGTATGACAAGAAACCAATTTAATTGTACATAAATTTTTGTTATACAAAGCTGTATTTGATAAGCACTAAATCCTTCACGGTTATTAGAACGAGGGAAAGGGATCCCATTCTGTAATTGGTTTGTCTGAGGAGAATATCTTGTCGTGGCTTGACTGTCAAAGCTCAAAACTAAAATTTTTGTAATTCTCTGCCTTCTTTTGTGTACTGTCATATGGTATATAGTCAATAGGGGTTGTCTGTATTTAGTAGTTCGTTGATTCGTCGAGCAGAAACAGTTGAAATTGACGACAGTGGTAGAATTAGGACCAAAAACCATCATGGCACAAAAAAGCTTGAAATTCAACAGTTAAAGCGTCTTTATTACCTCCTCAGAATGCTACAAACTGGATTCCTCAGCAAATACATGAGCGGGACTTGTACCCCGCTCCCCTTCAAGACTTATAATAGTTAACAAAAGTCAGTTAATTCCGCTTAAATTTTCAGGTCGAGATGGTAGAGATGGATTACCCGGACCTCCTGATCCACCTGGGAAACCAGGCCCTGCCGGTTAGTTTACTTTGCAATTGATTGAACGTCAAACTTTGCCATTTGTGAAATGATTATAACAAAGTGTGCTCAGCCTCATTAGATAACAAAACATTGTGACCTCAAAGCCGTCTGTGTCGTGATAAAATAAGTATGAAAAGAAAAAAATAAATTCAACAAGAGGGTCTTAATGGAGTTAACCGATAGGCGTAAAACGGCAAAAAATTTAGTCGATAGCCGTAAAAATTGAAAAATTCTAACCGTTAGCCGTAAATAGGGTAAAAAAAAGTTAACCGTAAAAGAAATTGTTCCCTAGATTTGCTACTTTTAAGGAAGGTAATAAACTCACTCATGGTTGCGTTTTTTATTTCGCGGCTAGTTTGGCTCCGTACGCACGTTAGGTAATGCGCCTTTTAGGTGAAGACCAAGACCCATTTCCATTTCGGCCGCTCTCTCGGGGAACTTATTTTTTTTTCTATAACGAAAGTGTGGCTTCTTGCTGGGGATTAATATTTGCGATTGTCAGGAGGTCGTGCCCTTGAAGCACTAGTGAAACAACACGAAGAGATCTCACTGTTTGTAAAACACGTTGCCGATAAACAACATTTCCCTGTTTTTCTCTGACGCTACAGTAGACATTGCTATGCCTAGTCCCTGTACGGCGTCTTCCCACGCAATTTCGGTCAAGGCATTTCGGTGGCGAACTCGCTCAGACCACGTGACCCGAAACGCGTTAGCCGCGCGAAATAATAAGGCCTACGAACAAGGCAAAACGGCTGACAATCGTTCCGAACAGTCCTTCGCTACCATTAAAAACACTGGACACGGGAATTTTGTTATTGGCCGTTTTCACACTAGAGCTAGAAACGGATTATCTGTCTGAGACTAGCCTGTGTACAGTCGCCCCCTTCCCGACAGACACCCCCTCTCCGATTTTTTTTCTGAGGGGAAGGGGGCGGTTGTTGTACACAAGTTATCTGGAACGGATAATCCCGTCTTCAAACTGTCCGTCGAAGTTGAAGGATAAAGTCAGGCGGATTGTTCATGCAAAATTAAAACTATTCCATTTTCAAATTAAGACGTATTACCTATCTGACGCGAATCATCAAACGGATAACCCGTCTCCAGCGTCTCACACGAATAATCCGTCTTTAGTGTGAAAACGGCCATTTCTGTTCTAATGAATGTCGCGCCCCGGCCTTGAGTAAGGCGTTCGCGTGTGTGCTTTGCTTTTTCACAAAGATTACTTTTAAATTGACTATTGACATTTTTATGTGTAAAATAATATTAGAAGTGGATACTTTATAAAAAGTATGATATATCAAATGTTAAAATTTTTCAAAAGAATAGCTTATTTCATATCCCGAGATGATCCTAAGACCTTTATTTTGCTTTAAAGGTACAAAAAATGCAGGCTAATTAATATTTAACTTTTTGAAACAAAAGAAGTTAATTTTTAACTTTTTTGTTAACCGTAAATGAAAAAAATTAGCCGATAGCCGTAAAAGAGCCAAAATTTTAGCCGATAACCGTCAATGCCACCACCCCATTGAGACCCTCCAACAACAATAACCATAACAAGATATATTTGTTCTAGACATCATAAATAAGTTACAAATATAGATAAATAATACAGCATCTGGGAACCTAAAGTAACTCAAACTAAACAAATCTGGGGACAACAAATTAGCAAACATGACAATCAGAGGAGGCTTTAACGAAAAGTATCTCAATTATAAATATAGAGACTTTAGGGTAGAGACCACAGGAAAAAAGAAATCATACTTGAATTAGCCCCTGCGGATGCTGTTTCTTTACCTTTTACCTCCTTCTTAATACTGAGTTCAAGATGATAGTTATGCTTATTTCAATGCTAAAGAACCCTTCAAACGTCCTTTTATCCTCCAGGAAGGGACGGCAGAGACGGAAGAGAGGGTCCTCCGGGACCTCGAGGAGTCTCGGGACCAAAAGGTGTGATCTATTGTTGTATAGAGCTACCCGAGGTCTGGAAATTCCGATGCCGTCAGACTTAAATATTGGACAATTAAAAATCTCGAGAAGCCAGGGGGAGTTGGGGAGACCAAAATTGTCTGGCGGCCTTTTCCCCAGTTCAAGCTAGAAGTCAACGATATTTTCAGTATCCTCAAAATTTAACTTTGCAGACATTTCAATTTCGTTTGACTAAGGACTTTTGTCTCTACTAAATTTAGGTTAAATTCTAGTCAGACGGGTGATTCGCTTTGGCTCCTGCTAGCAACGATGTGATATGAAAAAAATCCCTCAAGTATTATACTTCGTGTTCCTTAGGACCAGTTGGTGACACTGGAAGTGTTGTGTTGGCCCTCGGGGTCCTCGCGGACCGAAAGGAGAGAAGGGAAAGGGTCTGTCTGGCGTGAAACACGTTCGCTGGGGAAAAACCAACTGCTCTGGAGATGCTTCGTTGGTGTACAGTGGTAAGGGTTCACGATTACACACCGTATCTATTGTTTTAATCTCTTGTTCTAATCTAATTGACTAAATTATTTATTCGAACATACCTAGGTTACCATTAATTTTACCCTTACATGAAGTTGAAAATATCACAAACAAACCAAACCTGAGCTGCCACAACTAGCCGTCAGCAAGTTTTTCCGTAATGGTGAACTACTGTTGGGTAATTAGGACTTGTATTTAATAATTTGACACAGTCAGAATTTATAACAGATTCTGATAAAGAGTCAGTTGATACTTTCCTCCACTTTATAGTCAGTAATCAGCGCCGTGGCTCGAGTGCAGCCAACGATAAATCAGTAAATCAGTAATCGTGAAAAGTACTATAATTGCTGCTCTTTCAAGAGGGAGTTTATGCAACAACGACGGTGACGTCAGCGAGAACGGCAAAAAAAAAAGGTTTATATTAACAAAACAACAACTCTCACGTGCATCACGCTAGTTGTACATTTCTCTTTCGCTCTTACATATCAAATTCCCACGTGAAGAGTTTTTGTAGCAGAGTTAGCTGTTATTGTCTTGACCAGCTTTTTGTCTAATTTCTAATTTCAACTTTGGATCTACGGCAGGAGAGTTTTACACTCACAATGGAGACGCAGCGAACTACCTTTGCCTTCCAAAGACCCCAAAGTACGATCAGTACAAGGACGGCGTTCAGTACGGAGGATTGGTATATGGCACTGAGTACCAACTGTCGTTTAATCCTTTTGACAAAAATCTCCAAGACCACAATGCGCCTTGTGCGGTCTCCTATGTCGACTCACGTGGCGCAATGCTGATGATGCCCGCTCGGAATGACTGTCCTTCTGGATGGACCGAGGAGTATCATGGGTATCTGATGACTTCTCACTACACCCACAAAAACCAAAAAGAATTCATCTGTGTTGATAGAAATCCGGAGTTCATCCCTGACACCCAGGCAAACACGAATGGCGCCTTGATGTACTATGTCGAATGCACATGTGGAGGAAATTTGCCGTGCGGTCCATATGTTTCAGGTCGAGAGTTGACTTGCGCTGTTTGCACCAAGTGAGAGAAAGAATGGCCCTCATTGTATTTCAACACGAGCATTGGAAAAAAAAAAAAAAAACAAGCTGTTCATTTGAGGAAGTAGTTCAGATGCTGTAGACATATAGGGCGCTTTCCATTTAGCCAAAATTTCCGGAATTTCCGGTTCGGCGGTAATGAAACACGTTTCGTCGGTTCGTGCCACTGGAAAATTCCCAGAAAAAGTGGAAAATCTAAAAAGGTGGTCCCGTTTTCCCGGTTGGGATTTCCGAACGGAATGTCGTGTTCCATTTACGTTTCTCGTAGTTTTTACCAGTTCCAGGTCCACGGTCGGGCACCGCCACGTGCCGGGGTTTACGCCCAAATGGAACAACTTTTTAGCAATCGGAAATTCCACTTTTGCTACCACCGAAATTTCCGGGTTTTTTTCGTAAATGGAAAGCGCCCATAATGAAGCTCATTTCCATTTGCTTCAATCGGTAGACACATGCAAATGCAGCACAATTAATGCATGTAACACAGTGAAATAAAGGTAACATGAAAGCATTGAAAATTTTTCACCGTCTCTTTTTTAATTAGTTAATTTAAGCGTTCTGTCCGGCGTCCGGCGATCTAGGGAATTCTAGTTTGTAACTGCACTAATGATCCAAATTCACAGCAATTTCGGTTCTTCGTGTTCACATTGTCCGCGTTTATTTTAGATGTAGAGCACATCCAATATAAGTAGTTAGTCTGAAATTTCATCGGTCAGTCTTCGCCCTACCCCCTCTCCCCCCCCCCCCCCCCCCCCCCCCCCCCCCCCCGGGGGGGGGGGGGGGGGGGGGAGGGGATTACCAACATCTCGGGGGGGGTTTGGGCGCTTTTTTCTTGTCTTCGTGTTCGGTGTGGGGGGGGGGAGTTTTTAGGTTGCTGGGTCGTGGGGGGAGAGGGGGGGGATTAGACCCACCTGATTGCACTCATGACCCACATTGCCCTCTTTTTCGGTTTTTCGGTGTTACCCTTGCACTTTTTTTTTTTGATTGAAGGGCACTGTAATATAATGGGTTGCGGTGAAATTTCACCCGTGCGCTCTCCCCCCACCCCCCCTCCCCCCCCCCCCCCTACGGGCCGCCCGTTGGGAAGTGAGGGAAGAGACGAATGACATTTCAGACCTTACGAGTTGGTTATAGCCAACTTATTGCCGCCTCGTTGGCTTAGTACGCTGGAGGAATAATTGCTATTCATGGAGCTACTGGAAAACAGCTGGATCATTCCCTAAAAGTAAAAAACACGTAAATAATGTAAAAACAGCAGCTAAAGACTCCAGGATCGCCAATCATGCTTGGTCCCACAACCATGATATTGATTTTGACAACACCTTCATCATTGACAAAGGCAATTATAGCGTTAGAAAGTCTTTGGACTTCTGGCACACTATGAAAATATCTAATAGGGACAAAAACTCTTGCCTTCTCCCAAGAGAGGAGAAGTCGTTATGTCACGGTGCCACAATAGCAAAATTTCTGGATGACAACAAACTGAAAACGTCACTTGAAATTAAGAAATGAATTCGCACTGATTCAAACTGTTTCATTCATTTTGTCAAATATTGGCGAAATTTTCATAGGTTGAATCCGAAAGGACCGTATCTAAGTTAAGGAAAAGAAAAAGAAGTATTGTGCTGTGTTTATCCGTGACTCCATAAAGTGGGAGCATGAAATTAGAAACTTTCATATCGCAGTCTTGCAACGACGGCTAAGAAATGTACAACAAAGGGTGATGCACGTGTAGACTTTCAAAAAGTCCTTCGTCGGATTTCACATGGCGCGGGACCTCTCGCGCCTTCGTCGCTCGCGGTCGGCCGCTTCGCGGCCAAAAAAGGCTCGCTCCGCTCACCAAGAGGTCAACTTGTAGCAAGTCTAATGCACGTGCAAAGTTGTTGTTTTGTTAATATAAAACGGTAATCGCCTTTTTGCCTTTCTCGATGCAAATCAATAGGTCCAGTAGGCTGAGAGGAGGTTTCCAGGAAAACATATTACGATACTAAATCTGACCGCGTTCGTTCCGTTTGCCATTTTGGACTGTTCGCAAGTTTGCCCAAAATGAAAAGTGGGGAAACTGTTTCCCCACCCCTCGTCCTCGCGTCTCCTTTCGAGTGCAGCTCTCTTGGGAATTCTCGCGACTCTCCCAAATGGATAGCTTAGCTTGCTCGCAAGCTAGTCTGATTTCTGCGCATGCACTATTTACCGCTACATGCACATGTTTTCTCGCACGAATTGACCGTTAATTAAGCTAATCCTTGTTAACAGTTTTCTTTCAGAATGCCTTGAGATCAATTCATGTGTACATACTATACTAAAAACAATTATTATTTTCAATCTCGATGAATCTTGGCGTTAAGAAAATTTACCTCTCTGCATCGCGTTTAAGTCAATATTTGCCACTATCCTACCTCGATTTTAAAGAATACAGTGTAATTGTGAAATGAAGCAATAGCATATTAATATGACGTCATGTTAACATCACATGGCTACATTTAGTGGTTGAACCCCTACTTCACCAGTTTTGAGTGAGCCCGTTACTTAATGTATTGAAATCAACTTTGCAAAAAAAAAAAAAAGGTTACGATTTTTGTAGAGTATGATTTTGAACATAGTGTTATTTCATCCCCTAATTTTCTTTATTTAGACATCCGCCATCCTCCGTTAATCAAATGTGCTAATTTTGCTTATTATTATTTTTTTGAAATACTATTTGCTGCTATCTGGGGGAGGACCTTGAAAGGATCCCGATCAAAATAGGGTTGAGCTTTCCTAGAATTTTGAAATTTTGAAAACAAAAGAGAAAGAAAATTGTAGCCAAAAAACTAAACAAACTAAATTAATTTGAACGCCTTCATTCGATAAGTTTTGTAATTGTTTACGTAGGTTTGACAATTACAAACGTAAATGAGAGTTGCTATTCCGTGATCGTGACTAAGCATAAAAATTAGGCCTATATTTTGCTTTTTAATTTTTCCATGTTTTGAAAAGTAATGACTCCTTTGTTTTGTTATTTATGAATAATGGCCTGTGAATCTTCTTCTATGTATCAGTGACCTCCCATATCTATAGCAAGAGCTTTCCGGGAAAATATCCTTTCGGAAGACGATTTGAGATCTAGAATTTTCGGAACATTTGTTGTAAAATTTCTTGCTTGCCTGCTTCTCCTAGGATTTTCGAACGTCTAAAAAATGGTATAATTGCCCATTTTTAACGGATTTTTACCCTAAAAAGGTCACCTAGAGTTTTCGGGAGCCTTTTTTCTGGCTAAAATTTTCGAAAAGGTAAGTTATGATCCCTATAATTTTCGGATCACTGGACTTTCAGCTAGGAAATCCGAACAGATGAAAATTTTTAGGGGATAAAAATATGCCTATATCTACCGATCTCTACCGTTTAAATACGACAATACGTTAAACAATGCTATGTTTCAGTGTTTTTGAGCTACATTCTCGTTGGGTGCCCCTGGTGTATTGGTTTGTAAATCTCGCAAGGAAATCAGGCTTCTTTTTTCTCTCTTGCTTGATGTCACTTTTCCGAAATTCATTTCTTTGAACTGCGTTTCTCCCTTTGTCCCGGAGTTTGTGATGAAAACTCTCTGAGAGCATTAGGGCGAGAAAAAACTTTAAAAGAAAGAGTCAGTCTTTTGAGAAAAGAGAGGAGGTCGTTAAAAAAATCTCCATGGAACTTCTATGTGTATAAGTTCAAGATAACCGCCTGTTAAAACATGACTCATGCTAAAATATTCATTGTTTAATCAATGGCCGATACGTTACCTAACCATTATCAACAAATTAACCTTTAATAGATAAAGCTGTATTAGTACAAGATTTAAAAGATCGTAATTATTATTTCTTTCTAACGTAAGTTTACTTAGTTTTTTGCTCCATGAATGACGAAAACAACTTAAAGTGTTTTTCATTTAAGTTAAGCTGCCAGTTGCGATAAGAAGCCCTGTCTCAGTGTTTCAGGCGTTAAAAACTGAGAAGACTTTGAGTCACATCTGAAACTAAGAAAAAAAAGTCTGAAAAGAAAAACAGGTAAGCAATTTAGACACTGGCTTAACTTTACGAGATTTTTTTCCGAGAAAATTTCAGATTCTGATGACTTTTTGGACGACGAATAATTCTATAAAATGTCATCTAAAACCCTTAAATTCATTTTATGTCAGAATTAAACCCCTTAATTTTCATATTCTCTCCTCTCTTGGTTCAATACATTCTCAATGATCAGAGGCGGATCCGGGGGGAGGGTAGAGGGGGCTGCAACCCCCCCCCCTTTTGGGAAGTCAGTCAAACTTGTCTGGCTACCCATGTCGACCCCTTTTTCATACCCAAAATAATATTATAAGTTATGATATAAGTTCCAGTCCAATCGATCATCACAAGAGGACTGTAGCTACTCCTCTTCTTGGCTCTTTAATCATCCAAATGCAAGATCGATTTTCTTTAGGAGATCGCCACGCCCGCCATTTGCTTTGTCTTGTGCCATCGATTACGTGAAAAAGGCACTGCAACAGGATGATGAAGTAGAAGGCATTCTCTTATGGGAGAAAGACATTCCATTTCTCAAATCCCTTAGTGGAAATGAAGTACGTAGATCGAAAACACTCCAACAGTCAACGGATAGAAAGCTTCCAAACAACCTTTTATTAGCACTTGGTGGAAGATGCTTTTCCAAACATCTATCGCCTTCTGATCATTGCCTGTACCCAACCGATCACAAGCTGAGAAGCTGAGTGATCGTTTTCACTAATGAAATGAATCAAGACCTGCTCTAGGTCAAAAATGCCCAAAGAGCGATTCTCTGATCTCACAGTGATCGCAAAGTACTACTCCGAGAGATTCGAGGTAGACGAAATTAATATGCGAAGCCTTTGTAAAGGCTCATCCAAGAAGGCTCCAGTGAAAAGCCTCTTAGAGCAAAGGGAGCTAGCAACGAAAAAACAAAGGACCCTGCCTTTGCTGGGAATGGGTTAACTGACAGCCAATTGTTTATAATTTAA